GTTTGACTCTGTTTGTAATCAGACTGACCAATAAGAATCAGTCATGGGTCGGAGCTCCTCCCCTCTGCCCCCAGCAGAGTTTCAGGGTTAAAGTGTGAAGGACTCACGAGATGCTGATGTCGATGTTGATGCTGTGCTTCCCATCACCAACTGAACTTGAGACACGTGAACTACAGATGAGAGGAACTTCCGGAGCTTTCTGGAAGAATTAAAATTCAGTTACACAAACACAAACTTTGACTCTGTTTATCTTCACAGCAGGATTTTATGACCAATGAAGCTGAATTTACATCTCAGGAAAGGTTAAACTGTGAATGTCCTTAGACTTATATAAGAAACTCTGCTGCAATGTTAAATTAGGTGAGTCAGTAAATTATGTGACGTCAACAGTGACATAAGATAAGAAATGATATCTTTACAGTGCTTTTTACTTTAAACACCAATGAAGGTAAAGATCAAAGCTGACGGGTTAAAATAAACCAGAATAAATTATTTAAATAAAACTAAACTCATCTTTACAGAAATATCCTTAGTTTGGTTACAGCGTATAAACCGAGTAGACCTGCATGTCTTTACTGTCTCGGGTTACTTTCAGTTTTGTGTGACCCAGCGTGAACTGTGACTGTTTCCTCTGTGGTTATGAAACGTGTTTAAAAACACGCAGCTGCTGTACGAAGGTCACGTTCTCCGTATGTCAGGAAATGTTGGGGAGTCTTAGCAGCATGGAGGCCGTTGGCTTAAATCACAGTATAATTTAGCATGCCAGGCCAAAGGCACGTGGTAAAAGTATTAATCAATATGATCTAATATGGAAAAGTAAAATAAATAAAAATATTAAAAAACAAACAAACTAGCATTTCTTTGTCCTCTCCTTGAATTCTGTCCTGAGTTTTTCTGAAACTGAGACTTTCTTTAACAGCGCTGAGCTCTCCACCAATCACAGACACGGGGACTGCAGACAAACTCCATCTCTGATGAAAAGGATCATTGTTGAGGTCACAGGAATCAAACCTGCACCCTTGTTTTGGTGGCAGCTGCTCTGCTCTTTGGCTGAGTCGGAGACCCCCTGTAGCGTGTTTGACACCAGCAGCAGTGTTCGTGTCAAACACCTCTGAGCTCTTTCACGATCACTCACCCGATCAGAGTAAGAGATTCAGAAATGGACCTGAGACCACACCGTTTAATAAAGAACCAATCTGATGCTTCCTCCAGGTGACAGGTAGATGACAAAGAAGGAAAGCTGTCACATCATTTTCTCTTTCTTTATTGGAGCTTCGCTCCTGTGGTTGTCGGTTATGATGTCGGTGCTGCTGTGTTTGCTGCTCAGCACCGGATCAGTAAAGAGGTCCCGTCTCATGTTGATCAGAGACTGTTCCTCCGCGTGCACACGTTACCGGCCACTCGTTTACTGAACATGAACGCGCCTACGTCATTCTCGCGGTCCAGGTTTAAATCCTGTCTCACTGAGTGTTTCATGATAAACTCGGGATGGAATGAGATTTTTCTCTTCTTTTTTTTTTCAATAAATGAGATTTTTTTTTATTTCTTTAATTTTTTTGGTAAATGGCCTATATTTGTATAGCGCTTTTACTA